GACAACAAAGAATAAGGAAAAAAAAACAGCCTACATCACCGCCCGCCCCCGCCCCCCCACATCTACCATAATAATGATAGCTCCCTCCTACTAGCCACAACAAAGGGATGAAAACTGAAGCTCAATTGTCAGAGACGCCTGAGGAATTGCTTCATTTTCTTAGGGCCAGATATATTGAGGCTCTGCTTCCCCACTGAAAGAGGATGAAGAAAGAATTTCAAAAGTAGGATGCTGAGTCACTCCTTCCTGTTGTGAGAGAGGCTGAATGGAAAACGTGCAGAGAACCAGAAGGCTGTGAAGATGAAGAGACTGCCAACTGCAGGAGTGATGTGAGTACACGAATTTGCCAGCTGGGTACCAGGGGTGGTGGGCAGAAAGTGGAGATGAAGTAGGGGATCTCTGGGTGATTTGGAGAAAACCTGGCAAAGGTTTCCAACTCTTGAAGGTTTCACAGAAACCTCTCCTTAATTGCTGCTGCTTGCTCCTCCACTCCCTAACTTAAAGAAAGCTTGATGAAGGGAAGACATTTCCATCTAATTCTGAGAGAGACATCTACTTATTAACACATTTATGTTCTGTCTACCAAAGTTACCTTAAATACAACTTGAAAATAGAGATTCCCTTCTCTTACCTTCCCCAGCTAAAAATCGGTGGGATCTCAAAGTTCTACATTCAATAAATAACAAATGGCTGAAGCATGGGTCTGTGTCTGGGGAGAGAAGGGGACATCCAAGGGTGCTCCCTTCTGGATTCTGGGATCAGAGAGTTAATCAGTTAACACTGAATGGGCTGCCTGTAACCTAATGCCTCTTTCTCTCTCTCCTCTGTAGACAATGATTGAAGAGGGAGAAAGGCGGGTAGTGAGAGAGAAACAAGGGGTGTTCTCACTCCTTTTGGGCTCCATCCCCACATGGTGTGGAGAGCACGCAGTCCATAGCAGCAGTCAAAGGAACTCCATCCCTGACTTAAACCATGTTGCTAATTAATAGAACATTTATCACTTTAGACTGACATGTTTTGGTTTCTGCTTTGGGGTGGAGGCGTCAGAGAAGTGGCAGAAGACTGAAGTGGCCCGGATGTTCAGATAACTTAATAGTGAGTTATTGTTGGGGGGAAAGGTGGCAAAGATTGGGTTCAAGTTGGAGAAAGCTTGGCTCGTGAGCTGGAAAGCCTGGATTGCAGGTAGCCCTCAATTTTCATGCAAGTTCCATCTGTGCTCCTGTTAGGTGCCCTTTTAAACTGCATAGAGAGCTCTTTAATCAAAGATCTTTAATCAAAGATCTTTAATCAAATTAAATCTTTAATCAAAGATTGCCTTATTTTTTAGCAGTCATGCTCCTGGGAGATCGTGAAATGGTTGTTTACAGGCCAGATCCAGAAGTGCTGAGAAGAAAAGCCTTGGAGCCGGCAAGGTTGATTTATATCTGATCTCAGCCTGCCCCAACCTGTACTCATCTAAGCACGTTTGATTATATCCACCACCTTCCATCGTAAGCATGCTGGTAGGGTGATGGCAGCTGAGGACATTGATGAAAAAAGTCATAATAGCTTGGAGAAACAGCTGCCGTAGCTGACTGGGTGGGTTTGCAGACCGAAAGAAATGGAAACACCCTGAAATGGGTTGGTGAAATAAACAGTGAGAAGTTTGATAAAGCAGCAAAGTTGCATTGTTTCTTGGGAGTCTAGAAGCGGGTTTCTTTCTGGTTCCACCAGCCTCCTCCTCTTTGCTCAACGTATTTATTTTTACAAACACCAAAGGTTTCCTCACAGAAGGTGAAGGATGGCAGAGAGAGGCTGATAAAGGAGAAACTGATTAAACGGAAACACTCGAACAAGAGCTGCTGTGAGTTACATAAGTGTTGCGTTTGTTTTAAAAATTGTAAAGTGTGTGGGTGTTTTACAAAGTGTAAAAATCGTTCAAATAAATAAAGAAATATTCACTTGGCGCTGAAGGATTCTAGTTTGGGCAACTGTGTTTTAAGCTGTTCCTGTAAGAGCACTGTGAAGAACAAGAAATGTCAACAATTTATGGGAAAAAAGACACCGCAGGAAAAGAGTGCTGCTTCTAACACTGGACTTTTTGTTGGTTTTGCTGCATTTTGGACACATTTAAATACTAATTAGCATTGCAGCAGATGAAATGAGCTGTGGCTCACGAAAACTTACACTTTTGAATAAAGTGTGTTAGTCTGAAAAGGCGTTACCAGTCTTTGGAATAGGCTGATACGGCTCTCCTCCTACAATTTAAGAAACAGGGAAATGTTAAGGAAATGACCTTAGTAAGAAGGTCACCTGTATTATTATGGCATGGGTAGACACTAGATTATGGAAAGATGAGCTATCCTCAGAAATTCTCATGGACATCTAGGTCCCAACATCTACAAATTATCCCCCATGAATATCTGGAATGGGGCACTCACATTCTGCAGAAAACTCTATTTTTATGGGCCTCATACAGCCCTTTGACCAAATAACAATTGGCTGCCCTTTGCAAAAGTTGAAACTCAATGTGTAAATATCAGTCCTAGCAATGTACATGATGTTGAGGGCAAGGGTGGGAGATGCACCTCAATCTTCACCTCCATGTGAGTCAAGAAGCTGTGCAGAAAATTTGTTGCATTAGTGGAAGTTGAAGACGATGGACCAGATGGGACCCAAATTCATGTAACATGAAACCACAATCTAGAATTATGCCCAAAATAGCTTGGTGAGGTTAAAAAAAAAAAAGGAATACGTATGGAAGTGCATTAAAAAATATGATAGTTATCAAAAGCAATTTTTAAAATATCACATCTGCCTTCTTTGCTCTCATTAATTTTAGGCTGAGCTCAATCATGCCCATCAGATTAAACAGATTAAATTGGTGATTTAGTTACTCTTAGTAATATAGTATTTTGAAGCACCAGCAAGATGTATGATATGAACGTATGACTCTCCATCATGGATGTGTCATCCATGATGTTTCTGTTTTAAAGTATTTCCCCTTTATTTTACACTGAGCTGAATGGTCAGACAAAATCTGATGTCATGCTAGATCAAGTTAATGGTTTGTTAGCAGCAAGGCAATTGTTCTCAGATTGCTGGGTAAGAGATAGACTGATATCTAACTTTGTAGGAGAAATAAGAATTCTCCTGATCTTTCCCCCACAGCAAAGAACCGCCCGCCCATTGAATATATACTGTATATATATATATTGTAAAATGAAACTATACTCTCTTGTTTTACATGCAAGGAGTTCTGTAACTATGCCCAGTTCTTTCAGTCTAAGGGATGGTGACAACTAGGCAGGATATGTGGCTTTTATTAGAAAAAGAGTGCTTTATTACAAAACATACACAAAATGAATTGGTTGCGTACCTAAAGAAGGGCGGGTGCTTCTTATTTGAGTCACTTCTGAACGGCCTTCTGTATTGCAAAAGATTTCCTCTTCTCTTTCCTATTACATCTTAATTTGTATAGTTAGGTTTCAGCTTGTACTCTTGAAGCACACTGTGTATGTGTCAACATCTTTCTCCAATGAACTGTTGAGATCTTCGTTTCATTTCACTTCCCTTCCCTTCCCCTCCGCTCTCCTCTTCCATCTGTTACCCTCAAGTTATTCTTTTACTGTTTTCCTGTCTTTTACTGTGGTCCCAATGGACAATAAAAGACTATTTTCCTTTCTTCAGGGCATAAACGCATATTATAGAATTGCTAAGTTGACCAGTTGGGATGTTCAACTGATACCACGTTTCATAGAACACGCTGGGGTAGCACAGAAAGATGATGCATTCATCTAAATGCACCCTGTTCTGCATTTTAGCACTCATCTTATTTAATTCTATTTAATCTTATCTTATTTTATCTCTCTCTATTTTATATTTTTATTTTATTTCCTCTTATTTTATTTTACCTCATCTTACTTCATATTCTATCCTATTTCATTGCAGCTGAGCCTGTTGTTTCTTGATATGGTCAACTGACTACTGTAATCAGTGAAATTGCTATATTATACTGCTTTACTGGTTAACTCTTCCACTTACTGCATTTTTATCTCTTCCTTTCCTCCCTGACTCCCCCCAGCTCAGATTCCGAAGGAAGTAAGCTGTGTAGCAACCATGATTCAAGTCATCCCTTCTCGATGTGTTACTCCCTCCAGGTTCTCCATTGTCATGGAGTGTCTCTGCGTCAACTGACTCACGGCAATGCACTTGCTCCTCTCCTCTTTCTCTCTCTTTCTCTCTCTCTGCCACAGACATCTCCTCATCTTACCTCTTTCCCTTCTGGACTTTTCCTCAGCTTTTTTGTGTCTCTTCTCTTCTCTTCTCTTCTCTCCTCTCCTCTCCTCTCCTCTCCTCTCCTCTCCTCTCCTCTCCGCTTCCTTTTTCTTCTTTGTTAGGAGTCAATGCCACCAAGCCATTCTAATCCTTGATCTTCC